GCGTCATGCCCAGCTCCTGGCAACCAGTGATGTCAGTGAACTGAGTGGGATGCCAGATAGAGCCAGAGGTAACATGCCCCACCATGGCATTGGTACACGTTCCCCATTGCAGTGGCCGGCTTCTCGCTTGATAGCTTACTTTTTAGCCCTAAAGGCCAGAATTGATAAACAAGACTCCCCCTCCCACAGACTTTGGTGGGGTTCACCACAAAGTTCAAAAACTTTGAGCAAGATTTGCAAAACTGGATCCAGGCAGATTTGGTCATTCCTACTGACCACCAACCTCGGGGCATTTTCTGCCCCACTGACCACAGTCTGGCCCCTCTAAGGTCTGGAGGACAGTGAACTCGCCCTGTGTTTCAGGACCTCTGCATTGGGCTATCATTTCAGGATCGGTAACTCTAGGAAATTAGGTGATGGGGAGGCTCTCCACACAAGTATCTACCGGTAGGGTGTGCACCTTGAAGCTGTTTAGAGGGACAGTCCACCCAAAAGGTGATATATGACCTACAGGAGGAGCCTGGTGAGCAGACGCAGAAATATTTGGCGGTAGCCATCCGCTGCACCCATTTCTTCAATGATGGAACAGCAGTTCTGAGGGCAAGGGGTATATGGACTTTACCTGGTGAGCAGATGCAACCCCATAGCTTCTTAAATGTTTTGGGGTCTCTAACACTCACATCTCCCTGCCATACCTGTAATCACAACTCATGTTCCTGTCATCCTGGGACCCCTGCTGGGAGTCAGGTAGGAGTGGTGGGATCCCCTCATGATGGGTACAGCAAGTGGAACTCAGCGCAGAGGTCTCACCACTCCAGCCCCCAGAGATTTATAAATAGCGTTATTCACAGATTGGAATCTGCTTGTTTGTGAGATATTATTGATAGACCAGGTTCCAGTATTGATCTTGTTTCTCTTACGTGGCTTGCACCAGAGGCCCAACTGTTATTGGGTGAACCTTATAAGACAGTTGGAGGTCCTTCTCCAGCACCGCGGAGCATAGATTGGTGAGGAGTACAGATTACGACCCTTAGATTGGGGGCAGTCTATGGACAATGTCTAGCCGTTATGGGTTACTGCACATTGCTGCTCTTTGCATCCCACTCCCAAGTACGCTCGTCGCTCCTTGGTCTAATGTGCGGCTTTGTCCTTGCTGCAGGCGACGCACGTGAGTTGGCCGCTCTCCAGTACGTTGGGGTGCTCGGTCAGTGGCTGCTCGCAGACTAGGCAGGAAAAATGTTCTTTGTGCCAAGACTTGCCGTCGAGCTGCCGATAGTCTTCTGAGAATATGATCTGAAGGGCAAAAGAGACCAGAACACGTGTCAGTTACCAGCCAATGCAAGCTGCAGTTTATTCTATGTATATTTTACCTTCCCTGGCTCCTCCCCCCTCATTAACATTCTATTGATTTTAAATAAAACCTAATACCTTATTTAAGACACGGTGATGTCATTACTGAAGCTCTGGGCTTCTCTATGCAATGCAGACTGGTGGGAGGGGCTGGGAGGGTGCTGTACATAGCTTCCAGAAAACATCACAGCACCCTGCCTCGGTACTCCTCCAAAGAGCAGTGGGCTGGCTCATAGGAGGAGTTATGCAAATATCAAAGTGCTTTAATGGGTGGATGGCAGTCTGGAGGAGGGGGCGGTCCTAGACAGGGTGTATTTGCATGCAGAGCAGCCCTAGGTAATGCCCACATGTGATGCTGATCCTTGCAATAAAAAAGTTCATACTCTTAGGGGATGGTTAGGTAAATGGCATTCAGGTCTCAGCTCCACCTACCTCATCGCAGCCAGCACAGCGCGGCCTCTCGCCTTCACAGTAGTGTCGCCCACACCAGAGGCGGCTGTTCTTCCAGAAATGGATGAGGTTCACCAGGGGCTCTCTGCACTGGTAGCAGACAAAGCAGGCCGGGTGCCACTGCTTCTTGGTGCCGGCACGGTCAGAATAGACAGCGGGAGCATCTCCGGGCATCAACTGCTGGCACAACTCACACAGCTGGGGGGAGATAAGAGACAAGTATGCTTAGTAGGACAATAGCAGGGGACTTCGAGCACCCTTCACCTTCCCATTATAAACTCAGCAATGCATATCTGAGCATCACAAAACAGGAAGTGAAAACGCAAGGCCAACTGGAAGCTTTAGGTGGATTTGACCTTTAAGGTCATGTCACCCTACACAACAGTTTCATCTTCACCAGCTGAGAGGCTGCAGCAGGGGCTGATCTGTGTCAATTTACATGATTGTGTCATCTCTGATCTGACATCTCAGTCCAGAAAGTAGATGGTGAACCTGGATGATGTCAGAACAAAGATGGCACTGTCATTCTGGAGAGAAAAGCAGATGAAGGCATTGTCGGGGAGGGTACTGTGATCTCTGTGAGAGGTAATACATACCTGGAAGTGCTACACTGACATTGTACTAGCATGCATTCCTATAATATGTAAAAAATCTATCTGATGTTGGATCTACCTTAAGGGTTAATTGATAGCTTTGGGTGGAGTGGTCCCTTAAGCTAAATCACCAGCTGGCTCTAGGTGTCTCCACTGCTAAGATTCCTCCACCCCTCCCATAGGACATAATAATGATGATGTCACTCTCCCCGGTCATTTGAAAATTTTTGCATTAGGGGAGGGTAACGCCATCATTTTACTTTGTAATGGGCGTGGCATTTGGCTGCATTGGAAAGTCTAGTGGTAAAATCTCACAGAGGGCTATGAGATGCAAAATTTGAGTCTGCTTTGCAGAGAAAAATGGGGGCAGTTGCCCTTTAAATTGCAGGCATACTGAGCAGGAGTTTGAGTGCCTCTGGGTAAGCCAAAAGACTTTGGGTTCTCATTCTGTGCAACCTCCCTCCTTGGCTGTGCCCCTCCCTACACCCAATGCTGCCATCAGACTGCAGTGAGGCAGATAGACCCATACAGTGGATAGTTATGCTTCGCACGCTTACATAGTCCGTCTTCCCATTACACTCCTCAGTTCCGTTTGCTGTCGTCTCTGCGCTGGGTTTTTTTTCTTCCACCTTGAAGGTGCCGGGCAATGCCACCTCCGCCACCCCCATGGCACTTTCTTTGTGTTGTTTCACAAATGCCGCCATAGCTGGTCTCTCGCCCTCGGCCAGTCCTCGACAATGTGCGGGGTCGTAGTCGTAAGGAGGTAGCTGTCTCAGCAGCTGCACGCGGCGATAATGAGCCCCTTCCGTGCCGGCCAGAGGCTGCAACTTTTTGGGGATCAGCTCCATGTAACGCATGGCCTGAGGAAGGAAGATCATCATCATCATCATCATCATCATCAACATCATCATCATCACAGCTAATGTTCAGCAAAGCCCCTCAGAGATCAAATCATTTCCAGGATAAATCAGCCTGCTCACTATGAGCGATCACTCAAATTTTACTCCAGGATTTCTGAATTAGCCTCTCTCAACTTTATTTCTCTCTATTTAATTTGCTCTCCTTTTCCTCTCTCTCCAATTGTTTGCGCTCTGTCTCTCTCTCTCTCTCTCTCTCGTCTTCCTATCTCTCCCATCTCCCTCTCATCCTTTTTCTTTCCTTGCCTATCTCTCTCTCTTAACTACCTTCCTGCCTGCATATACCTCTCTCAACTTTCTCTCTCTGTCTCTTTCCCATCCATATCTCTGTTTTTTTTCTCTTCCCTTCCTTCTTCCCTGCCTGTCTTTCTCCCTCCCCTATCACTCTTTCTTCCATCCCATCTCTCTGTTTCACTTCCTATCCCTCTCTCTCCTTCATCTCTCTCTTTTTCCTGTCGTCTCTCTCATTCTCAGTCTCACCACTCCCTATGTCTCTCTCCTTCCCTCCCTACCTTCTACCCTCCTTCCTGCATATATCTCCTTCATTTCTCTCTCTCTCTTTCCCTTCTCTCTACCTCTCTCTCTCTCTTTCCCTTCTCTCTCCCTCTCTCTCTCTCTCTCACTCACTCACTCTCTCGCCCCCCCCTCTCTCTGAAATCTGCTTTTGAAACTAGAAAATATTCTCCAATATAACACTCCCCGTCTTTCTCTGTCTCTCTCCCTACCCTTCTCTCTTATATTCTCTTTATCTTTTATGACTGCCCCTCCCCCATTCCTTATACCACTTCTCTACTTCCTATCTGACCATCTTCCTCACATGTATTACCGTGTGTGTTTTTAGAGATGGTTTTCTTGGCTCTCTGTTAAATGTTTGTGTATTAGTATTGCATGGACTGATAAGAAGGGGTGGAAGACCTCTGAAAGCTTTTCCTGAAAATGTAACTGCGAGTGCAAATAAATGAAGTATGACGCACAGGACTCAGCTGGGTTCTTGCAAGTGCCCAGATACATCCCCATAACCAACCACAAGATAAAGTAACATTTTCCACATCCTATATATTTAGGGTTGCCACCTTTTCTTCAAGTTTTTTGGGGGAGAATGAGTCGTTGCTTTTTCATATGTAAATATCACAGGTTAGACTATTTTCAGCGGGGGGAGGGCGGAGGGCAGTAGCCCAGTCTTAATTTTGGTTGCCCCTGTCTGCCTGACATCTTGTGCCCGGGTTTCCGCTGCCATGAAACCTGGCCACAGCATTCAAAACCTGGACTGTCCGTGTGAATTCTGGACAGGTGGCAACCCTATATATAATATGCAATTACCAGTTTCTGGTTGAGGCCCGGAGGGGCCCATTCATAGGTGACAGTGAGGAAGGTCGGGTCTTTGCGAGATGTGATGGGGTTAGTGATGATCATACGGTTCCTCTTGTAGACACGGAGCCCATCGCCGCCCTTCACGCGGGCTGTCAGTCCTGAGTAGCGGGTGTCGGAGAGAAGTTGACCAATCCGGTGATCCCCGTCCACTTCGTTGGGCAGAGTGTGCGCCTCACGTGGGCAGCGGCACAGCTCGCAGGATTTCCTATGTGATACAAAGTATAAAAGTCATCCAATGTACTGGGTTGGAGCACAAGACTTTTTAGGGACAATAGCGACTCCTGCGTTTACGATGTGGCTATAAAAAGGACATATATGGCAAATACAGCTTTGAGTCCCTAAGACAACGGTAGGCAACCTTGGCATTGCAGCTGTGGCAAAATCATCCTTTAAAGGCACAGTCCATGTCATTGAAAATGTTTCCTGTTACAGCCATATTTATATGAACAATATTCACATACACTATCCCCAAGCCCAAACCGTCCCCCCAAACCTGAATTGTGGGGTGCTTTGCCATTCTGAAATCTCTAATGTCTGTTGAAGTCTGTCTCTGCATCTCTCATCACTGTTTTGCCTGATGAAGGGGACCCTGCATGGCCCCCGAAACATTGTGTTAAGGCGTATTGATCGTTATACTGGAGTGCCAGTGACCTGTTCTTGTCGGATATTGAGGGGCGCCATCTCTGTGTCACTGCAGCATCCACCTGTTCTAAAAGGACTTACCAGTCAGGAGTGCAATGGGACTTTGAATTTTTTTCACATGAAGGATGAAACCCCATGCCCAAGCCTAAATTGCGACCCCCCCACCTGAATGGGGGGGTGCTTTTAGGGTTGACCCCTGTCCGGGTTTTGAGTCCTGTATGTGCTGTTTCCAGGTTTCAGGCCAACTGAAACCCAGACACATCACATACAGGACTCAAAACTAGACTTGTGCGCCGTCAAAAAATTAGTTCCGTTTCGGAATATCCGTTATTTCGTAATTCGTGTCCGAAACTCAATTCGGATTCGTACAAAATACAAATTTGCGTTAGTTTCGGCACATTTTCGTAACTGTACGAACATTCGTTATGATGAAGTTAAAAAGCAAAGATGTGGTAGTTGTTTTTTTATCCGAAATACGAATTCCGTTAACGGATTCCGGATCCGAATTTCGTATTTCGGATTAAAAAAACCTACCATCAACTCCAATATAAATGTACTTTGCTTTTTAACTTCAATATATAACGAATGTTCGTAACGGAACGAAAATACGTCAACAGAATTTCGTATTTCCTGCCTGTGTATTGTAATGCATCAGCAGCAGCGGATCCGTATTTCGGATTAAAAAAAAAATCTTGTCATGTTGTTCAACCTCATTTACAGGGGTAATATTAGTTCCCGTTTCAAAGAAATTCGGATCCGAAATTCGTTAACGGAATTTCGTATTTCGGATATAATTCGGAAACTGCAATTCGGATTTCGGATGCTTCCAAATTTACGAATGTCAGGAAAATTCGTACGAATTTCGATTCGTAACGAAACGAATCGCACATGTCTACTCAAAACCTGGACTGTCCAGGTGAATCTGGGAAAGGTGGCCACCCTAGGTGCCTTGCCATTCTGATATGTCTAGTTTTGTATTTAGAAAGGCTGTGCATGGCTCCGCCCCCACACATCCGTGTCATCCATGTCCGCAAAAACGACATATTCCATCTGCCACCGCGGCAGATGGGACATATGCAGAGTGTGTTGGCAACGCTCCTTCGTCCAGGGGCATTTCCTTCAGCCAGGTCTGTACCCAAAGCTGGGGTACAGACCTGGCTGTACCTGCAATGTGCTGATCATGGGTGCAATGCTCTGCAGACTTCATTGCAACAAAGTAGTAAATCGTTGTTGCTGCACTACTTTTTTTGTTGATCGTTGTTGCTGCACTACTTTTTTTGAAAAGGTGCACTGTCACTTTAAGACTTCCCTTTCCAGTGGGTGGAATGTCAATTCTTTTGACCATGAGATCATTGTTGCTGCATTTACTCTTTTTTTTTCTGCAAAAGTTGGATTTAGCTTTTAAAAACATCAAATGCAGTTCGCTATTTATTAGCAAGTTTGTAAACTTTGTTAATCCGGTACGTCCTGTATAAATACAGCTGATTTACCGGTGTTCTATCGAATTCCCCAACTCGTCGAGACCTCCAACTCCCGTCAGTGCGCCTGCACAGCCATCCAAGAAAAGTATCAAGTTCTAATTGATGAAGTTAAAAAGCAAAGATGTGGTAGTTGTTTTTTTATCCGAAATACGAATTCCGTTAACGGATTCCGGATCCGAATTTCGTATTTCGGATTAAAAAAACCTACCATCAACTCCAATATAAATGTACTTTGCTTTTTAACTTCAATATATAACGAATGTTCGTAACGGAACGAAAATACGTCAACAGAATTTCGTATTTCCTGCCTGTGTATTGTAATGCATCAGCAGCAGCGGATCCGTATTTCGGATTAAAAAAAAAATCTTGTCATGTTGTTCAACCTCATTTACAGGGGTAATATTAGTTCCCGTTTCAAAGAAATTCGGATCCGAAATTCGTTAACGGAATTTCGTATTTCGGATATAATTCGGAAACTGCAATTCGGATTTCGGATGCTTCCAAATTTACGAATGTCAGGAAAATTCGTACGAATTTCGATTCGTAACGAAACGAATCGCACATGTCTACTCAAAACCTGGACTGTCCAGGTGAATCTGGGAAAGGTGGCCACCCTAGGTGCCTTGCCATTCTGATATGTCTAGTTTTGTATTTAGAAAGGCTGTGCATGGCTCCGCCCCCACACATCCGTGTCATCCATGTCCGCAAAAACGACATATTCCATCTGCCACCGCGGCAGATGGGACATATGCAGAGTGTGTTGGCAACGCTCCTTCGTCCAGGGGCATTTCCTTCAGCCAGGTCTGTACCCAAAGCTGGGGTACAGACCTGGCTGTACCTGCAATGTGCTGATCATGGGTGCAATGCTCTGCAGACTTCATTGCAACAAAGTAGTAAATCGTTGTTGCTGCACTACTTTTTTTGTTGATCGTTGTTGCTGCACTACTTTTTTTGAAAAGGTGCACTGTCACTTTAAGACTTCCCTTTCCAGTGGGTGGAATGTCAATTCTTTTGACCATGAGATCATTGTTGCTGCATTTACTCTTTTTTTTTCTGCAAAAGTTGGATTTAGCTTTTAAAAACATCAAATGCAGTTCGCTATTTATTAGCAAGTTTGTAAACTTTGTTAATCCGGTACGTCCTGTATAAATACAGCTGATTTACCGGTGTTCTATCGAATTCCCCAACTCGTCGAGACCTCCAACTCCCGTCAGTGCGCCTGCACAGCCATCCAAGAAAAGTATCAAGTTCTAAAATCTGCGGCAGTGCGCCTGCGTGAGCACCCGATGCCACAAGCACCGAAGGGAGTTGGAGAACTCGATGACAATTTAGAAGCCGCACAGGCGCACCTACAGCAACGGAGAAGTCAACGAGGATTGCAACAACTGTGACGGCTGGCGCAAGTGCACGAGCGCCATCTCGTTGAAATCTGACTTGACGAGTTGCAGATCTTGACGAGTTGGCCACTTCGACAGAACATCGGCTCTCCCCAATGGGTAATTCTTATACCAAGCATTCCTGTTCATTGAATATTCAATACACATCGGCTAAGCCCGAGGATCGCTGCACCCTAAACAGTTGTTTCTCTTCTAGATCTGGAAGGCGAGTTACATTTTCTTTTATTAAAAATTCTTATTAGAATTTCTTTTAAAAAGTTATTTTCAGAAAAAAAACAAAAACGGTATATAATAAAATAATGTGCCATTATTAAATCCCTGATAAACGACGCAGAAAACTGGCTGCGTACAGTTTCCCGAATTGACATATGCGGATACACACATGTTTCTCCTAAATGAATCTCAATTGGTCTGGTCCCATTGAAAATGAAAGACTCTCGATAAAGGTCCCCATACACCTTACGATAATCGTACGATAATCGCGGGAAGTCCCGCGATCGTACGATTATCGTAAGGTGTGTGGAAGCCTCTACTACTGTAAGGTCGCACGACTTTTAACTTACGGACATGTTCGAAAACCCGCCGAGCATCGTACGATGTTCGGCGGGTGTGTAGCATGTTCGTACGATAAAAGCCGTACTGGCCGGTGTGCGCAAGCGCACACTGCCCAGTCAGCATTGCGGTCATCAGAAGCCCGCCCCTCAGGGGGCGTGGCTTGCGATCATCGCAAGTACGATCTGCCTATGCAAGATGGGCAGATCGTACGTTTTTTTAAGTACCTTACAACCATCGCAAGACAAAAGTCTTGCGATGGTTGTAAGGTGTGTGCCCAGCCTAAGGCTGAGTTTCTTTCAAGAGTCAGGAATGCTAATCCCATCACCTGATATACAGATGGCCACTAGAGGGAGCCTTTACAAATCTATCAAATATAATAACCAAAATATGGAACAGCAAGCTGTGCCAAGTATGACTTTTATTATTATACAGGATTTATATAGTGCCAACAGTTTGCGCAGCGCTTTACAATATAAGGAACACATTACAATCACAATACAATTCAAGACAAGATGGTAAGGAGTGCCCTGCCCTTGAGGGCTTACTTTCTAAAAGGGAGGGGCCAGTGATACATGAGGAGGTAGCTGTATGGGGATGAATTATTTGAGAATGTGATGGTTCAGTGGTTAGGTTGAGGTGGGATAGGCTTCCCTGAAGAGATGAGTCTTAAGGGATCGCCTAAAGGCAGTCAGAGTGGGAGATAGGCGTACAGCTTGGAGTAAAGAGTTCCAGAGGATGGGAGAGACTCTAGTGAAGTCCTGGAGGCGAGTATGGGAGGAGTTGACAAGGGAGCTGGAAAGCAGGAGGTCATTTGAAGAGCGGAGGGGGCGGTTAGGGTGATACTTTGAGACAAGGTTGGAGATATACCCGAGGGCAAGAGTTGTGGATGGCTTTGTAAGTCATTGTTGATATTTTAGACTTTTAGAGGACATATTGATTCTGTTTTCAAATTTGTGGACAGAACATGGAGCAATGGTGGGGTGTCGTTGCCGGGATTCCGCAGGGCAGCATACAGATTATAAAACGTCTCTTTATGCCAAGCTCTCTGTTAATGAGCACGCTGGCACAAATATCTGATGGCTCACGCAGAAGTTTTGTGCTCCGAATTCCTTCCACCTAGGGGATGAGAT